ACAGTAGCAAATATGCACATATGTCACTGAATTCTAATACTTTATTGACAAGAAATAATTTGCAAAAAAAAAAAAACCCTAGGATGTTTTTTAAAGCAATTAAGAATTTCAGTTTTCTCAGTCCAACTTACTTCTTTCAACCAAAATATGTCTCAGAATGAAAATTTTCTCTTTATGTGTATGTCTTCCTTGTAGACCAGTAGATTTTCAGATGGGAGTGATTTTCCCTCCCAGGGAATATCTGGCATTGTCTGTTTGCTCAAGGATGCTACAATCTACCATGCACACGACAGTCACCTGCAGCAAAGAATTATCCTCTCCAAAAGGTCAACAGAGTCCAAGTTGAGAAAGCCTGATCTAGACTACAAGATGCTAGAAGGCAAGAGCAATGTCTTATTAAAATATATACACTGAGAGTTCCAGCCAAGAGGGAGACGTAGGTATAGATCCTTCGCTTCCTTGCATAACCAAAAGGAAAATAACAACCAATCTGAAATCAATAAACAACCAAAAGCACCAGAAAATCAAACTGCATGGAAATCCAACAACAAAGGGATTAAAGGAAAAATCAACCAGAACAACCAGACGAGTAAGGCGGACCTTGGGGATGGGGCTGGCTGTCCATGGGAGGGCTCTGTGGGAGGGGCTGACTTAAGGGGACTCAGAGGAGGCTGTGGGTCACAGCAGTTGTGGCAGTAGAAGCTCCTAGTCTCATACAACAGTCCCTTGAAAAGTGCACCTACAGAGGAGGAGAGTCACACCGTTCCCTTTTTGGCCTCTCCCCCACAGGCAGCGCCATAGCACAGCAAGGAAGGTTGCCTTGTCAGGGTGAATACCTAAGGCCCCGCCCCCTTACAATTTATCAGCTGCACCAAGACAAAGAAATAGGGCCCGAATGAAAGAATAGAGCAAAACTTCAGAAAGAGAACTAACTGATGAGGAGATAGCCAACCTATATGATGGAGAATTTAAAACCCTGGTAACCAAAATGCTCATAGATCTGATTGACCTTGGTGGAAAAATGAAAAAACAAATGAAGGATACCCAAAGTGAAATAAAGCAGAATGTACAGGGAACCAACAGTGACAGAAAGAAAACCAGGACTCAAACCAACGATTTGGAAGAAAAGGAAAAAATAAACATCCATGTAGAACAAATGAAGAAACAAGAATTTGAAAAAGTGAAGAGACTCTCACAAACCTCTGGAACAAACTGAAACATTCCAATATCCAAATTATACGGGTGCCAGAAGGAGAAGAGGAAGACCAAGAAAAGGAAAACTTAATTGAACAAATAATGAAGGAGAACCTCCCCAATCTGGCAAAAGAAATAGACTTCCAGGAAATCCAGGAAACCCAGAGAGTCCCAAAGACGTTGGACCCAAAGAGGAACACACCAAGGCACATCATCATTAAGTTACCCAAGATTACATATAAAGAGAGAATCCTAAAAGTAGCAAGAGGGAAAAAGAGAATTACCTAAAAATGAGTTTCCATTAGACTATCAGCTGATTTCTCAAAAGATACCTTGCAGGCAAGAAGGGGCTGGAAAGAAGTATTAGAAGTCATGAAAAGCAAGGACCTACATCCAAGATCACTCTATCCAGCAAAGCTTTCATTTAGAATGGAAGGGCAGATCAAGTGCTTCTAAGAAAAGGTCAAGTTCAAGGAGTTCATCATCACCAAGCCCTTATTTTATGAAATGTTAAAGGGACTTATCTAAGAAAAAGAAGATAAAAAACATGTACAGTAAAATGACAGCAAACTCACAACTATCAACAAATGAACCTAAAAAAAAGAGAAAAACAATGAAAACAAAAACTAAGCAAACCAGAACAAGAACAGAATGAAAGAAATGGACATCACAAAGAGGGAGTTCAGTGGGGAAGGGGAAGGGAGGAATAGGGGGAAAAAGGTACAGGGAAGAAGCATGGTTAGTAGGCATAAGGTAGACGGGGAGAGATAAAAAATGGTACGGGAAACAGAGAACTCAAAGAACTTATATGTACAACACATGGACATGAACTAAGACGGGAGGGAATGCTGGAAGGTTGGGGGGATAGGGCGGAGAGGTCATAGAGGGGGAAAATTTGGGAAAACTATAATAGCAAAATCAATAAAAAATATTTTTAAAACATGCACACAGAAAAAAAACACAAAAATAAATAAATAAAATAATATATATACACTAAGTATTTGACAAGGTAAGGTAATAATTGTTTGGTGAAATAAGCTGACACTGACATCTATCTCTTAATGTTCCCCTCTGTGTGAATAAGAAGGTGGTGGGCAGTCTAGCATCCACAAAGTTTTGGCTACAGCTCCATAAAATGGCTGAAACTGATACTGGCAAATACAAATACATACAATGACTAGATACAAATAGTAAAATAATTTGGCTAAACATAGGTTGGCGTGAGTGAAATACCACATAAAACAACTGCTCTGCTCTAACTGGTGTGGCTCAGGTGGCTGGGCATCATCCTGGAAAAGAGAAAGTTCGCCAGTTCAATCGCCGGTCAGGGCACATGCCTGGCAGTTGGGCCACATTCAAGAGGCAAAAGATGGATGATTCTCTCCCTCGCTTCCCCCTACCTCTTAAAAAAAAGGGAGGGGGGGCTGCTCTGAATTCCCACTGGCCCACACACTCATTAGACTACTTAAACTTCAAAAGAATGCTAATATCCGGAAAACATATCCTTGACTACCACCCCATTCTCTGGGAAGGCACACCCCACCCCTCACACAAGTGATCGTTTGTAAATTTTGTTACTCAAAGCCAGTCTGTCTGAGTGCTATCACTAAAGGACACTGACTAAGACCAGGGCACAGGCAGATTCACCAGGGTGGCAGTGCTTTGGTGAGGATTCTCGGTGAAAAAGTTATCCAGACTTGAGGCTTTTGCACCCTTTCAAACAATTAGAGCATTTTTGAGTGAGGGTTTTCCCCCCACAAAAACGAAGTTTCTCCTTGAATTTTCCCATTTAAGTTAACCAGTATGAGCATTTTGATAAATATACGAAGAAATTCTCTCTGCATATAAAATTACATTAAAAACAGGAAAAACAATCTGACCTAAAGCCTGATATTTTCACCCAAACTGTCATGGACATCTATATGTCAATAATCACCTCTGCAATGTCTTTTGAAATAGACTTTAGGTGATCTTAAATTCACTCAAGACACATTCCTGTAAAGGTACCAATTGTTTGAGGATGGAAAGGATTTCAGAAGGAATATGTGATATATACAATTAAGGCAAGGCACACCACTGGGAAGAAAACAATAAGCTTTGTCACTTTCCCATGCAATCATCAGATTCCAGACTTCTGGATACAACTTCCTGAATGGCATTGAAATGATCATTTTGTCTTTCCCTGCTATTTCTTAAAACCCTTTCAGGACTGGTATGAGTAACAATACATCATTAAGGAAACATTCAGTGATAACAGGAGCCAGGATAAATGCAGTGACCACTCATTCTGAGGGGCATTAAACTGGGTAAAGAAGTCATCTTTCAGTGTGGTGTTGGAATTATTGAAAATACATATTACTTGTAAATCATAAAAATGAAAATGTAAGGTATCTGTTAGTATATGTCACATTAAATATTAAAAGTTCTTTGACATGTGAACTCAACATTTTTTAAAATATCCTGCCCGATAACAATTCTTAAAAAATTGTCTATTTTTTTTTTTAAATTGGTGACCAAGAGATAAGATTTCAAGCTTTCCTACAGAAGTCCAGGCATCAAAATAGAACTTTGGAAGTCCAGGCGCCAAAATAGAACTCTCTTCTGACATTGAGCTTTAACTGGTCTTTTCAATGACCCATTCATTTCCATCACATTCACAAAACTTCCATCACCACATCCTGAGCATGATAGTCCCACCACTCCTGTCTGCCAACAGCAGTCATCAGCTCCATACAGGGCCAATGCTCTCTAGCAATGGGAAATCTTGACAGAGCTATAATGAAAAATAACAGTGTTCATTTTGCCTTCTCTGAGAACAAAAGACAATAGATTAGGTCCTAAGTACTCAAGACAGAGGTCTAAAGACAATATGCACAGTTGCCCACTGGGGGAAAAAACTAGTAACAAAACAAGTTAATAGTAAGGGAGATGGCTACAGCTACACTCCCAGAAACATTCTATTGTGGAAAGACCTCAAGTTAAAAATACCAAGAGCTGAACAAATTCCAGGGTATTAAGTCCATGTGTAAGATATGCTCCAATATTTTAAGGTCATGCAATTTAATTTTAGGGAAAATTCTCATAAAATATGAACCATAAGGACCTAACCTAATGATCTTTTGGCTCACAATTTAACAGAACTCCAAGGTTACTTCAATGTTTAGGACATTAAAGGCCTATCTTTTCAATTAAAAAAAAAATACTCTGAACAAAGAGAACCACTGGAAAGATCTTTATGAAAGTTTCTGAGCAGGTAAGAAGATAATCAGCCAGAGAGTTTGGTAAATTATTATGTGAGAAAATCCCTGGATAATAATAAGATTTTTTTGTGTTTCTCTGCAAGTATCTTCTTGGTGAAGAATGATATAATCAGGTTAGCTGCATTTTGCTAAGACCAATTAAAGAGAGGGAGGAAAAAGGAGAGAGGAGAAGAGAAGACAGAGGGGGAGGGGAAGGGAAGGGGAGGGAAGGGGAATGGAAGGGAAGAATTTAAATTAGATAGCTCAGGGCCATCAGGAACAAACCTCACAAGATAACCTATAGTTTAAAAATTCACATTAATCTAGGAAATGTAGTATTTCTTTGCCTTATTTCAGACAGAATTTGAGGAAGGTTACAAGCATATTTACAATATAACAAGAAAAGAGTATGTACAGGTAATTAAATGTAGGTTAAATGGGAAAAAAAGGCAAAACAATAAAATGAAGAAAAAAATTATCTTGGGACTGTATACATTCCTAAAAAATATTCAGAACTTAAAAGTTAACACCAATTTATGAGGTAAAAAAGGAAACTTTGCCACTCACCAATTTTAACCTTTGTAAAGGTATTCTGCCTACATCTATCTGTGTCCTTTCTGGGACATTAGTGAATCGAACTTCTGGGACCGCGACAGCACACATGACATGGGCCCACCTACAGAAAAGGAGACATTAAACATAAACACAAGTTCCCTAAACTTATATACCTCGTACATCAAGCAGGTGATGCAATTCTCACAAAAGGGAAACACAGACATAAAAAAGAAAGCCAAAAGCCTGAATCTATCACAACCTGACCACCCTTTGAATTTTAAAGCTTTTAGATAATACCTGATGGATTCAGTAGCACACCTCCCTACCACTGTGACATGAGAAACTAAGTGAAGACCAAAGACTCAATCCAATATATGTAGTTTTCTATGTTTGATCTGCACAATACTGAAATGTAGGCTTGCTATTTCATTTGATACTGAAATATAGAGAGATGTGTTTAATACACTTTAGCTAATTAATATGTGGTAAAAGAGTAATTCAATTAATAAAAGTTATGAACTGGATATAGCACATAATGTTTTTACATAACACAAATGGCATAAAGCAAACCAGAACAAACAGCAAGTTTTCTAAAAGAACTAATATTAAGTCTTTAATTAAATTGTTTCTCATTGCAATCTCACTATAATCGAAGGAACCTAGAGATAAGAAATGAAATTTAGCTTGTTCCCTTGTTTCTTAACTAGATACTTAAAATCTAGTATCTCCTTTCAAATTCTGAATTACTCCAATGACAATGTCCCCACCAACACAATTTTCTCGTAAACATCATGCCCCAAACAAAAGACTCTTGAGATTTCAAAAGATCTTGAAAGAGTTATCAAATCCACCAACGTATTTTTAAATTGAAGTGTATTCATTTCACTCAAACGATGCAAGACTCTATCCTGCCTATGAAGACCACAAGAATAGAATGTCAACCCCATCAAGGCACTCTTTTAAAAAAGATAAATTCTGTAATTCTACAGTAACCACTATTTCTTTTTGTCCTCATACAAGACTAGGAAGAGAAGTTCTTATTATGTCTCTACAGTACCACCTAAATCATCTCACAGGCTGCATGACCTGTACCACATCCTAGAACTAGTCAATACTTATGAGTATAGTACGAATCACATAAACTGTGAAGGATGAGGATCCAAAATTAGGGAAAAATAGTTCCTTTGACTAATATTTATCAATGTAGGAATGTCGAATGCCTTTATTCTTCCTTATCAGTAATCAGAAACACGTGCACATGCACATGATTATACAAACTCCATTATTACATCCACCCCCGGGATCCAAGTCCAGTACTCGTGGGACCACTAAGGATGTGAACAGATGCAACGCACAGGTTAAATCATGGCAGCCTAGGCAGTGCATGCCCATTTAGGCCATGTTCTCATCTCTACTTGTCATTGCCCTATAGAGATGCACAATCATTTTTCAAGTAAAGATAAAAATCTGGATTTTAATGTAAAAATCTCTCAACTTTTAAAACTTGGGTCAAATTTATAAAATGTGTATTGGCCAAATAAAACATACCTTGGGGCTGAATCTAGCTCTCAAGTGCCAGATTAAAATCTCTACACAAACCATTTCTACATGTTTCTATTTCCAAAGGATCCTATAAATGCTTTGGCCCCATTTTAAATATTAAAATCAGGTCATGAAAATAAAATTCACACAAAAATATACTTCAACAATTGCCACACACACAATAAAGGTTACCTTTCTTTAAATCATAAAATCAATGTTTTCTCCCTATGTTTCTATCGTGGTATATACACTTTCTTCTAATTAGCTGGTGTTAAAATAAATGGTTTTGTTTTACTTTTATGACCATGACTGATTTTATTTACCTGAAGTTAACATATTTCACTGTTTGCAGATACACTGTTTTTATTAGACTAATAGAATTCATCATATTAAATGCGAGAATTCCAATGGCACCTAGAATGACATGGGCTGCCTTCATTTTAAAAACTCTGTTAGTATTGAGTGCAGGCTGCGAACCAAAGTGTCGCAGGTTCGATTCCCAGTCAGGGTACATTCCTAGGTTGCAGGCCATGACCCCCAGCAACTGCCCATTGATGTTTCTCTCTCTCTCTCTCTTCCTCCCTCCCTTCCCTCTCTAAAAATAAATAAATAAAATCTTTAAAAAAAATCTGTTAGTAAAAGAGGGGTTATTTTTCATGGTGTCAAAGACATAAAACAGAAGCAAGACTTAGAACATCTCTGTCCAGCAAAGGTAAACGTGGTGCCAGTAATGGTCCCTGTACAGAATCCCAACCTCAGATCCCTACAGCACAACCTTGGAACAATGTGTCCAATAATGATCGGTAAAGCAAACTGCCACCCAAAGACTCAACCATTAGAGAGGAAGAAAACAATGAAATTCAACACATTAACATATTACTTACTTATTGTTCTTAGTTTCCTTAAGAGCGCCCCCTCTCAAATTGCAGAGACAGCAATCCTAGGGGAGAAAAAAACATACACAATTATCAGACCTATATAATAAAAGCCATTACTATTTTAGCTAAATATTCCCTTTTATTCTAATTTCTTTTATTTTAAAATTAAAACCATCAGGAATTTTATGAAGGCCCATGTCTGATCAATTCAAAACGGAAATGGAAAAAAAGAGGTGGAAAGGTGAGGGTATACCCAAAAATGTTCTCACTATACGTATCTCCTAGAGGAAACCATCATTTTCCTGGTACCATGTCCAGCTGCCATCTGTGAAGGAAAGCTGTGACACAGAGAACTTGGTATCTGGAGAGGTATGAACTACAATTCTAGAACAGAGAAAACAGCTGGGTTCTCTTGTGATCTGGGAATCCACTCATGTCAAGATGGCCAAAAAATAGAGAACAGGCATAATTCACTCTGAGATAAGGAGAAGCAGGAAGCTCTTCATAAAAAGATGTGGACAGAGAAATGAAAAGGGCCTATTCTAGAAATTAGTGTTTAAGAAGCATGAAAGAGATGCCTTTTACAGGAAGCTGAGGATCAACTAGAGATCATAAAAATTATTATTTAGGTCTTTCTGTGGGCAAATGGTTTTGGAAAATTGTTCTGAGGAACCCAGGCTGTCCAGCCACAGAAGACAATGCCAAAGCATTATTGGCAAATATACATGTCTTACATTGGCATGGACTTTTTTCACTCCAAGATGACGACGTTCACTACAAATACAGACTTGACTCATCATTTCTCACTATAATCCTATGGAAAAATCCCTGAGAAAATAGGGCCGGAAAACAATGCAATCAATACCTTTTGTTGATATAGAACTTTTTGTTAAATGTTGTACTTAAGTAACTTATTTTATTTTCAACTTCAAGCTTGTCCTTTCAATTTACTGCATTAATAGAGTTTTTAAAACTAATCACAGGCTTTGGGTGATGAGCACACAATGCAGTGTGCAGATGATGTTTTATTGAGTTGTACACTCAAAACCTGCATGGTTTTATTAACCAATGTTACCCCAATAAAATCAATTAAAAAAGATCAATAGTTATAGGCTATTTGGGTTTTTTTCCTCTAAGCTGTATATATAAAACTTCTTTAACTGTTCTCCAAGGTGATCTGTAAGTAATTTTGACAGCTTTGCAAACCTTTACAACGACTCTTCCTAATGTATCAACTGTTAATAATAGAGAGTCAGACTCCATAGCTTTTACTTTTTTTGAGGAAAACAAAAACAAACTGAGGAAAATCAACATATCTATGTAATTCTTGATAGGCAGGAAAAAAAGGCAAACAACTACAGACATTAAATGGTTTTGTGTGTCTGGAATATCTCTGCACATATATTTGAAATTTCCTAGGTGATGACCAATGGTTCAGAGTAGCAAATGCTGCTTTGAGTATATACATTTGAATCCATAATAAACCCAGCTCAAGGAGATAACTTAATGGAAAAATTTCTCTACCCACATCACAAAGCCTTTGAAATAATTTGTTCTGATGCAGCACACAATAGAAGGAGTATTTCAAAATCCAAATATGGAAAGGGGGAGGATAAAAATGAAAAAAAAAATACAATGTCAAAATTACATATAAAAAAAATCAGTATCAAAGTGGGAATGCAGCAAAGGGGAGTTGTGAACTGTGAGGAGCTCAGACACTAAGAAAATTAGATGTCTGATTAATGAAATTAGTGGTGAGAAGACACCTAAAGGGACAAGTTAGCCAAGTTAAATACAGCAAAGCAGCATGAAAGAGGCTTTAAAGCACCTGATTAGGATCATTAAAAGATGTTGCAGAGCATTACCACAACAGGTGGAAAAAGTCTTCTAAAGTAGAATATGTAGATGTAGATTTTAAGTGGAGTTAAGAAGACTCCCACCTACCAAATAGGAAATTTGTTTTTTCTAGGATTACCAATAACCTCCATGTCACAAAGTCTAAGACATAATTCCAAGCCCTTGGTTTGCTTGACCTCTTAGTAGCTTTCAATATTGTTGATCACATCTTAGTTTTCCCCTCTGGTTTCTATGACCCAATATTCTTCATCATCTTTCTCCATCTCTAGTTGATCCTTAGCTTCCTTCAACAGGCATCTTTTCAAGCTCCTTAAACACTGTAATTTCTATAAGTGCTATTCACTTTTCTTCCACACTGGCTTGCTGGGCATCTGATAAACTACAGTAATTCTCAAAAAGGCAATGACTCAAACATTTACCTCCTGAGATGTCTGACAGCTCCGATGGCATCTCAAACACATGAAATGCATGTGCAAAACTGAACTCACATCTTCTTCCCAAACCTGTACTCCCCCACTGTTTCCAATCAGTAGTATCAACCATCCATTCTAGCTCATACTAGCAGACATAATTTTTTCTCATCTTAGATCCAATCAATCAACTTCTATCAATCCACCCCCAAATCCACCCTCTTCTCTCCATTATCATTGATGTCATCTTAGTTGATACCACCAGCATCCTTCATCTAACCTAAAGTACTACAATAGCTACCCCACGGTCAATGTGGAACTGACCAGAGTGGGTTCTAATGCTTCTCAGTACTTAATGTGGCCTAGGAGGGTGAGAATCATTAAGACTTAACCTTGTGCCCCCTAACTTTGCACTACTCATCATCCTTAGACACCCAGTAACTTCCCAAGAGGTTCCCATTGCTTCCAAACACACATCAGACCCACTGTGCTACACTCTTCATTAATTAAACTGAACAAATCCTTGACCTCTCAATCTAAATGTTGATTTCTTAAGAAGGTTCTCCTAATCTCTTGGCTCAGTTACTTCTCTCTCATTACTCTTGTTAACTATTTGTTGAATTCTTTCTGCTGTCCTCACCACAATGTAAATTCAATAAGTGCGTGACAATATGTCAGGTTACTATTTCTCTATCATTCTACTCAATAGAGAGTATACCTTCCATGTGAATTTGTTAGATAAATGAGAAAATATGGCAAAATAGGGCAGAGGGAAAAATTTGAAATTACCACAGCATTAAAAAATTGCAAAGACAATTTTCACATACTGGAACACTAAGAAAAGGAAGCCGAAGGCTCCAATAACTTAACATGGAGTTAAGAACCAATGGTTGGACACAAAGTTATTTTTGCTATGATTTACTTGAGCAATTGTATTTTTTAGTAATGTACAAAAACACTCATGGCCAGGTAAGGATATTTATATGATTTACATGATATTATATTATATCATGGTTTCTGTTCAATTCACTCAATTTTGAAAAAAATAAGTAGAAAAGAGTCTTATCCAGTTACATCAATTTTTTAAAAATTAATCACCATCCTACGTATGGGTCAAACTAGCTGATCTGTTAGAAAATACAAAGATATCAACCTGTCAACTCATTCATTTGTAAATGAATTTATAGTAAATGCTTATATTCATAGCCCAGTAGAAGGCAATTAGACAGAATAATTTAAAACCGTCCCTTCCTTTGTTTAAATAGTACTTTGTTGTCAGAGAACAAAATTGATACTTCTAAAGTTAATAGGTTAACCCTTATCTGAACAGCAGCCCAAACTTTCTCAAAAATCTGTGCAATGCCTGATACGCATAAAGGTTGGCACCAACCAAATATACTAATTGTACTAGTTTATCGCTCATCTTAAGATTCAGTGAAACAACTGTGAAAGTAGGAAGTGATAGAATATCCTTCAGGACAACGGATTCATTAAATTGGTTATCAATAATAAAAATTCTATTAGAAGAATAGAGAATATATTAAAGGTCTAATTCATTCTATATACCATGACAAAATCATCATACTTTACCTCATTTCCTTAATGAACTTATCAACTAATTAACACCTCACTTCAAAGATGAGAAAACTAAGATTCAAGAGATTAAGTAACTTGTCTAAAATCATCCAAATATTTGATGGGGATCATCAAACATTTTCTGTAAATGGCCAAATATTTACTAATTTAGGCTTTGCACAACTACAGAGCAGTTGCAAATAACCCACTCTGCCAGTGTAGGAAAATATGTAAACAAATGGGTGTGGTTGTACTCCAATAACAATGTTATTTACAAACATAGTCAGTGAGCTGGATTTGACCCATAGAATTTTTCAACCCCTAACCGAACAGTAAAAGGAACAACTGGGATTCAAGGTTCAGGTCTGCTTGACCACATGCCCATGCTCTTTTTCCCTAGCATCCACTGCCTCCAGGTGCAAGACAGGGCACAAGATACCAAACTACAGTGCCAAAATAAATGAGACACTGTGCCTGCCCTAGGGAACTAACAACTGAGAAAGGGAGAAGACCTGTGGATGCTTAATCATACCATGTAGAAGATGATGATAAAGGGCATAACCAAGACCCCATTTCCTCATCTCTGTAAGTAACTTAGAATTCATTTTTAAACTGATCCCATGAGAACTCACATCATTAAAAAAACTGTTGTCAAGCAGCATATATACCAATCTGTACTCCTATTTGTTTCATTAATCCTGCTAATAAAAAGAGATCATTAAATTTATCTCTACTTCATCCTTCAAAAAATGATACCATTTCAGGCAAAAACATTCTAGCAGTCTATGCAATCTAACCTCAGCCTAAATGACTCCAATTTTACTTAAAGCTATAAAGCCAAACTATACCATGGTATTTAACAAAATGCAGATGGCTAGGGTTCAAATCACACTGCTTCTATTTACTACTGGTATGACCTTGGGCCACTTACCCTCTGTGCCTCAGATACCTCACCTGTAAAGGGCAGGGGGGAATACTACTTCCCTAAATGAGTTAATAAATGTAAAGATACAATAAATACAAGAAGAGCAGGGGTTAAAAATGTGAAAGGCTAATTGTGACTCTAGACAACTTAAATACAGTACTGTCAGTGGATAATCTGAGTGTAGTCCTTTTGCAGATGAGAATAGAGAAAATAAAATGGAATAAAAATTGCTGAGAGAGGCACTTAAAAAAGAGTCAGTTCACTGAGGAAGTAGGGCCTATCTATGCACATCTGC